CCAAAGGGCATTGCCGGACAGAACTCAAGGATAGGAAGGGGGAGTGTATTGCTGTTGAGAAGCAACGTCTTTCCAGCTGTCTGCATGATGGATAACGTCAAAAGGCATTCTCAGATTTTAGTTACGTCCGTTGAAAAACATTTAGATTCTCCCTCATATATCCCCAAATTCAACTCGTCATTCTCCGTAGTGGGGACAGCGGTAAATAACTACGGAATTGTTTAGCAGCGAAATTTACTAAATATATTACTTTCCCAAAAGAACTTGTGTCGAACGTTTGAACTACAAACGCATTTTACATACACACCTCTGCTTATGACGCAAACCTCTATCTTCAATGAATAACTAGAGTATTCGACGACTGTCTCACAAGCTCTGCCTCTGTGTGATCACCGACTAACGTAAGTATTAACCATCCGTCTTGGGGCTTGTCAAAAGGATTTAGGAGGTCGAGCTATCAAATTCCAAAAACCGGATAGGGTTATGGATAGGCGCTCGTGTACATAGCCTCGAGAATAAATAGGAGGAAAATTGTTCAAGGTCGACTGCTTTTGGAAGGAATCTGTGACCATCCACCGCTCAGGAAGCAATCGAAGGCACTTCTCAGCAGGAGGCTCTGTGTCGCAGATTCGAACGCACGGCCAACTGTTTGGGCAGTAGGGTAGTCAATGGTGCCCAAAATCTGACGGCCTCTTTTCACCTTACTTATCTGCCTTCGTACACCCCTTCCATATATTGTCTTCGACGGGACATTTTTCTTTCCAAAATTTAATTATGGACACATTTATTGTATATGACCTCCGTTGAACACATGCCTACTTTTGGACGGCTTGTTTCAGGCTATGAGCGCCAAAGATTAGGATTTTACTATTTAGTAGCGCTATTCAGATTGGCATGCTAGGGTGTGTCCTATGTTTCATCTTCCCGAATTAGGGATACAGTCATACATGCGCTCTAAAAGCCGTGGCTTGAAGGGTTATCACGGGGGGACTGAGAGCCGGACTTCAAGTGCTCGCACTTAATGTGACCCTGTTTTAACTTTGGTAGAGTATTCTGGTCAGTTAAGTCTAGTTGGTATCGGCTTGGGAGGGGAGGGGGACATTATGCATTTCCGAGCACTGCGTCAGATCTCACATCCACTTGAATTGACTTGGACTTGCCATCAGCGAATAATGACGTAGGGGAGAGCGTGAGACCGATTTCGCGCAACTCTACCTACCTTTTGAGCTATCACGGAGCACCAAAAGTCGTGGCTTGGAAGATTGCCAGCTGACGGCTTAACTTCGTCCTCTGTGCTTAGGTTCTAGTTCAAATAGCTCTGTATGTTGCCTTACAGCAACTCTTGTCGGTCTGAAGCCCACGTTGACTAAGTCTGATCAGGAGTCAGCACCTCTGTGGCACGCGTAGATGGTGACCATGCCCTGTCAGCCACTGCGTCTATGCTCACCCCAGGTCGTCCCGACCTTGTCGTGCCACTAGAACATGTCGGATGTGATAAGAGTGTGATAGCGACAGGAAGACCGGTGCAACTGGAACTAGGAGAAGACTTAAAAGCTAGGTGTACGGGTTTGGAAAAGCCATGCTGTTGTGGGCTATTTGCTGCCCCGCACTAATGCAGAGCAGTGGCGACATAAACAAGGTAAAGACAGCAGTTGCTGTTCCGTCACCTTTTGGTCGCCGCAGGACTGCACTTTGTCCTGCTTTAGAGCGGTCTGGCCCCAGAACCACCAGGCCTTAGCTACGTTTGGCTGATTTGCATTTGTTTCCCTCTTGCCATTTTACTCAACCTCCCCACTTCCCCCTTAATCCACTTTTTTCAGAGGTGTCTGGGGTTGCTGTCTCATCCCATTCTGCATTGAATCGTGTCAGGATGTGTACCACAGGTGTCCCAATTGCCACAGTCTCCTTGGCGTCTATTCGCGCCACTAGTTCTTCCCCAGCACTTGGAATCGATAACATTTCATTTGCACTACTCCCACTTGGATCCCGCCTCTCTCTCTCTCGCGCGCGGTCCTCTACAACAGCAGCATCCAACAACGGTTGATTATTTATTTACATTACGATCAGAATTGATTCCCAATGTGTCATTTCATGCTTTTTTCACATTCTTCTCGACTCTACTCCCTATGCTTTCGGTCGGTCCTACGCCCTCTCTGGATTAAATTACATTTGATTACCCACCTAGGTAATCAGTTTTCTGGTTGTATTGTTTTCTGCTCAATATACAATAGTGCTAGGGTCCTGTGGTATGAGGTGCACTCCTCATATTTTCAAAGCAGTCTATGCTCACTGCTGAAAACAAAAACATAGCTAAACCTTTTTTTCTTGATGATCTCTTGTTCGTGGGTCAAAGGTCTTGCCGTAAAGGCGGTTAAATATAATTTGCGGATCTTCGTGGGAGCCGATTACGGTTTAAGTCAAATTTCTTGTCTGAAAGCAAATCAATGTGTCTAGTGATTTAGAATTGCCATTGCTAGATAATAGAAGTCAGGGGGTATGAGTTCAGTTTCACGCATCCTTACACTCCTATTATAAATCCGACACGTTCTTGAGCTACCACGGGCGCCAAAAGTCGTGCCTTGCAAGGTTGTCAGTTAATTGGATAACTCGGTTATCTGGACTAAGGTTCCCAGTTTAAATAGTCTTGTTACAACCAAATACCTCATTCGAAAACAAATCAAGGGGGGATCTGCATTTAGAAGTCACAACAACGTAACCCTCTAGTGAATAACCTCATATGTTCAACCGTATTCTCACGCAGCGGCGTACTTAGTACGCCTGTGACCATGTCATGTCTAGTCGGCTTCGATGTCGCGAATCGTAATCCTCCATGTCTGACGATCTGCGTTATGGTATCAGGAGAGCTCGATCCTTTCCGCCGGGCGACGAGGACCAAACACAGCGGAGCCGAGGACTGTCTCTAACCACGCATTCGGTTGACATTTTCGGCGCTCCCAGATGGACAATGGTGCCGGCTCGAGGGCAGTAGCACTGTGATCATGAGGCGGACGATAGACGTGCCCAAATCACCTTATTCGCCTTTCTTGGATGGTCTGGGACTACCTTGCTGTATCGTAGCGAGTTCGGACGGTCTCATTTGAGATGAGTCCGATCATCCGAAGGATGGTCCTCGGGCGTCCATGGTCAAACGTTAGTTTTCGCCGATCTTCCACGCGCACAACCCAGCAATCACAACCGTGTAGGAGGACTGACCGAGCGAATGCCCGGCACAGGCTGACCCCTGTGGCGATGGAGATGTCGCGTCGGGTCGAGAGGCACTTCGTGGATTGTGAAAAGCCTACCAGCGGCATCCATTCGACCGCAGTGGCTCCCCAAAGTAGTTGGGACCGGTCATTTCTCCACGCTGACGGCTATTAATACCAAGGGATACTATCTCCTGGTCAGGGGTGCAGCTCCGAAGTATTTCTGTATTTCCAGCGTTTAAGGGATGAACCGACTGATTTTGCGAAGCCACTCATCTCCGACACCACTGCCTCTAGTCCCCAAAGACAGAGGCTGGCAGAATGAAATCGTCAGGGTAGTCCAGATCACTCGGCCGGAGCCCGTATGCAAATTCTGCACTGTCAGGACTGTATAGGGCCCTCCCGAGTGGTGTAGCACAAAATGAGCGGCAGGACACAACCTTGTCGAAAGCCAAACCGAAAATCGATCGGTTTGGGCAGCTGGTTATGAACCTGTGCTCGCGCAGTGTCGGAGCGGTAGTAGGCCTTTGTCGTGCCGATGCTTCTTATTGGTGATGGACGCAGTCATGACGAGGAAAAATGAATGAAGCAAATAGCCTTCGGCCTCTAGTGGCCAAGATGAGATTGATGAATGAGTCGTAATATGGGAGGTCAAGCCACGAATCCACGTCCCAGACCTAAGTCCGGCTTTGTTAGGCCTCGTCTTCGAGTTAGGTACTTGTTGAAATCGCCGGAGGACTAGAGCGGAGGCCTTTGCAGTAAGGGTGGGGAGGCTCATGCCGGAGGTTTCTCGCACTGTTATTTTCTTCCACCGTGACCGACGGTATCCACCGTGTGCTCCACAGTAGGGTGAGAGCAGGCAAGGCGACTTGTGCGTGATTTCTTTTATAGTGATGGTAAACTTGCACAGAATCTACTGCACTCCCTTCTCCTCCACATGGACCCAGTGTCAAGACGTAATCAAGAAGACCGGAGGTGGGAGAGGGCGCAGGTGACTGGCGCTGCCGGGCCGCACCTAGGCGTACCGCCATATCCGGTTCGGATCCCACCAGCTGGAAGTGCCATAAAGGCCATGGTAAGAAGGAGCCATTACAGCCTGACTCTCAGACCGCAGGTCGGCAACTCCACACAAACACACTGGGCCGACTACGAGGTCCAAGTTATCCCGTCAGTTGGCATTCTTCCAAATCTCGGCTTTTAGTTCAGCGTTATAGCTTCAGGCACATCCGATTGTTTATAGTGAGTAAAATGTGTTGAGTCATCAGCCTCACTCCCAACTCTCATTCCCAGACTCCAGCCACTGTCCGAGTCGGTCAGTCGTCTGGTGCGGGGAATGGGCTCATTGGCTAACAGAGCTAGAGAGCTCGTCTGCGCGCTCCACATAAACGACCTGGCTCCCAAACACAAGCGCCAGCATTTCACACAACAGGGCCGCATGCATCCCACATTCGTGATAGTACCAGAGGTCACGTTAAGAAGGAGGCGCTGCAGCCTGACAGTCCACCACTCCACACAAACACACAACTGGGCAGACTTTGTGGATTGAGTTGATACGTCCATCGGCAACCTTCCAGATCACGCCGCCTAGCGCACAGTAATAATCTCAGGCTCGGATCACACATGCAGTAGAAGCCCCACATGGAAAATGAGCAGAGAAGAACGTTTCACAATTGCGTGCTTACAGTGTGTGGTTATGGGTGATAGTGACGTGTGCTGAAGGTGCTGTTACGCGAAGATTTGATCGTGTGGTATAGCCAAGGATGGTCTATCGGGGGTTTTCGTGAATGCACATGTGGTCTAGTAGGCCCATGCGGTGACTGAATATACGCGAGCAATGCGGGCAGTTAAGGCGAGTGCGTCTGGTGTATGTTGGCGCTCCAGCACTGGTTCAGCAGCCTCTGTGTGATGGACTCTCATGTGACCGACCAGGCCGATATGTGAGGTGTATGCGCGGCCACAATGAGGACAGGTTGGGACCGAGTCCACATCGCTGGTGGTGGCGGTGGCGCTGGTGATTGACGGGGCGTCAGGAGCCTTTTGACCGCTGATGGAGATGGTTGTGTTTGTCGTCGCCGCGGTAATTGTGGCAGGTGTAATGGAGGTGATAGCGGTCGACGGCAGCGCGACACTGCGATCCAAAGTAGCGTTAGTGAATGTGGGCGCCAACATGGAAGTTGGAGCAGGGGCGGTCGTAGAAGAGCTGCTTTCGTAGGCGAGCGTCGTCCATTCTCACCAGGTGGCCGCCCCATCCTAATTGCAGTTGCCCAAACATGACATGGATGGTGAGGATTCCGATCCGTTCCAGGACTTCCGCGTCGGGGATCCTGTTCTACCATCCCAGCATCAATATTCTGCCGGGGCAGCTGAGATGGAAGTGGTTGAGAATCCTGACATTACTGGGGTAGGCGGTCAAGACCTCCGCTCCATAGAGAAGTGTCTTCAGGAGACAGCCTTGTGCATCTTCAGTTTGGTGTTCAGGCACAGGCTGTGGCGACTGAACAGGGAGCTCCGCATCCGGCCGAAGGCCTGGCTGGCTTTGAAGAGCCGATGGGCGACCTCGTCGTCGACTGTCGTGCTGCGGGAAAGTGTGCCTCATAGGTAAGAAAGGTTATCTACGATTTTGAGTGGAATGCCGTTGACACTGATTCGAGGACAGCTGTATCCCGTGTTGGGTGACGGTTGCTGCATGACCACCGTTTTGTCTATGTTGATGGCCAGTCCGAAGTTGGCGCACCCGGCGGCGAGGAATTCCATGCTGCCTTGCATGTCTACTTCGATCGTGGTGCTGATAACCCCCCCCCCTCTGGTCGTCGACAAAGAGCAGGTCGTGGACAGTGGTAATAGTCGCGTAGGCGGCTGCATGCGCCCACTGCTGAGATTTCCGTCAGTTCTATGGACGATTCGTATCCCAGGACGCTTATTAGAGTAGACTTCGATCAGCAAAGCAAAGAACGTGAGGCTGGGGGTGGGATCGAGTACGCAGCCTTGCTTCATCCCTTTGGTTACTGTGAGTGCCTCGGTGATTGTGCCATTGCCCCTGATGCGCGCCATCATCCCGTCGTGGAAATGACATACCATTAGTGTGAAGCATTCGGCAAAGCCGAATTTCAAAATGATTTTCCACAATCCCTCGCAATTCACCGTGTCAAAGGCTTTCCTCAAGTCCACAAAGATAATGGGTAAGTGGGTTCGCATCCCTTGGCACTTCATCTGGAGCTGGCGAGCGGTAAAGACCATGTTGGTGGTCCCGCGGTGTTGTCGGAAACCACATTGGCTTCCCGACAGAAGGCCTTGCTCGAGGTGTCCGCGAAGGCGATCGAAGGGGATGTAGGCGGTTATCTTCCCGGCGACGTGGAGTAACGAGATGCCTCTGTGGTTATCACTGAATTGCCGGTTTCCTTTGCGCTTGTATAGATAGACAATGATCGCGTCCTTGAAGTTCTGAGGGACCTGTTCTTGTCGCCACATTGCCTGGAAGAGCGATGTTAGGTGGGCCATCAGTCGGTGGCGGCCGTGCTTGTGGATTTCAGCTGGGGTCGCATCAGCCTGGTGTTTTCCTGCTGGAGGGTTGTTACACGGTACGAATGGTTTCTGGAATAGAGGGGTAGAGATCCAGGTCGACGTTACTTTCCACTTGGAAGGCCGGTCGATGGCGGCGCGTAGATTGTGGGGGGACGGTTGAGGACTCTTCCGAGCTGCTCAACCCAGTTTTTCAGAATCTGCAACATCTCCGTCGGAAGCGTTGATCCATCAGAGCTGAGAAGCAGCGCGGCTGCTTTGGTTGGGGACCGTTGATCGCTTTGATAGGATCGAAGAACTTCTTCGTTTAATTGTAGTCACCATACTCCTGGATCTTCTCTGTCTTGCGGACCATACAGGCGCCCTACATTTTTCGCAACCGTTGCTGCGCAAGGCGGCGACATTGGCAGAAGGCCGCTTTGTTTGCATCGGACGGGTGGTCCATGTAGGTTCTGTGCAGCCAGCCCTTTCCGGGGAGCAGGTTGCTTATGTCGGCGGCGTTGTCGTCAAACCAATCCCGGTGTTGGCGAAGTGCACGATCGAGGACACCCAGGGCAGTCATTTGGATGGCTCCCTGCTGTTGGCATCATCGAGTATCCGCGGGGGCGTTTTCATCTGCAGCTGGGAGGTCTTCCAGGTGCTGAGCTACCTTGTTGCTGAAATGTAAACGGTCAGCAGTCAAATCCAACAGAACAATATTTAACTCACCTGCTGGTCACTTACCCTGTGGCCTCCCGCGCAGTTACAGGCGAAGTCTCATCTTGAAGATGACGAAGCGGTGGTCCATCCAGCCATCAGCGTCGCAGATTGCCTTGGTCACCATCACGTCCTGTCGATCTCGCCTCCGGACGAGGACGTAGTCCAGCAGCCTCCAGCGTCGCGATCGAGGTGCATGCAGGTCGCCTTCTTTTCTAGTCGGCATGCGGAAAAAGGTGCTGGTCAGGAGAAGGCGGTGTTCTGTGCAGGTTTGCAGGAGAAGGAGACTATTGTCGCTGCAGCCGCCGATCCCGTGAGGACCCAGCACTTCCCTCCAGGCAGTGTAGTCTGTCCCGACGTGGGCGTTGAAGTCACCAAGGACAAACAGCTTGTCCGCATTCGACAGACGCCAGAAGGGCGTGCAGGTCGTCGTAGAACTTGGACTTCGCCTCGTCTGGGCCGGCCATTTGTGGGGGATAGGCGCGGATGATGGCAGCGATTTGGGACACCAGAAGAGGCAGGCGCAGGCTTATCAGTCGGTAGTTGATGCCCTGCGGTAGACAGAGAAGTCGTCCCACGATGTCGTTCCGAATGGCAAAGTCGACGCCCGCATCTCGTCGTTCTGCCTTTGAGCGGCCGCTCTAGAAGATGTAGCCGACAACCGCCTCTTCCAGTTGGTATTGTTAGTAGAAACGGGTCTCACTGAGAGCTCCGATATCCACCTTGTATCGCGCTAGTCCCCCAGCCACTAGCACCGTCCTCCGTTCCGGTCGATCGCTCTTCTGATTGTCCAAAAGCGAACGAATATTCCAGGTTTCCAGAGTGGGCGGACTCACTCTAATAGCCCGTCGGGTGGGGCTGGGTGCCATTTGGTATGCCGTCCCGTCAGAGGTTTTTGCATTTTTTCTAAAGACCAATTACTGTTGTCTCGTTGTCTAGAGATGGCCGTCTACATGAGAACTATTAATTTCAGCTGGATTGACGAGAAGGAACGACAAGGCACTCTCAAAATCAAGGTTAATTGAAGTTCATACTAGCGGTTTTGTATTATTCTACTATTAGTCCCGCTGACAGCTGCAAATCACTTAACCCGGAAGATCGAAATGACTTATCTGTTGACATACAACAACGACAGTTCGACCGTCGTGAACGACGATGTCCACCATGTGCCCCATGGTAGGGTGAACGCAGGGACGGCGACTTGTGTGTGAAGTAGTTTATAATTACAGGTGACTTACGCAGTATCCAACGCACCTAGTCTTTCGCCAACCCCAGCCCATTGGGCGTAGACGGATTTTTGCGAGGCCAAATTAACCAAATCATGATGGGAATCGGAGTTCCCAGCTTTCAGTGAAGTACGGCCTTCTTTGCGGCTTGTTTATAATCGTTCCCCTTCGAAGCTCAAAAGCGCCTCTTATTAGAATAAATTTTCTGTGGTCTTCTTCACTCGAGTACAGATCTGCAAACGAATAATTACGCTCTCCAGATATGTCAGCTCTGCCCTTTCCTTCTTATATTTGGCCGTAAGTATGTTAGAAAAATGTTTTAAACGTCCACACGCCTGCATCTACTTGGCAAAGGCTCAAACATGTCTGATCTAGGTGGTTTTTATGCCCCATGATGAGCGGCGGCAGATCTGGTGAGCTGGGTCTAGTCGTTTGTCTACAAAGGGTTCCAGAACCACCTAGAAGTGTTGACTAGCCGTCTCGTGTTTGGTATCGAGTTTTCAGTAGGGAGGTGTTGGGATCAGGGCAGTAGCAGTGAGTTCACCAAATGGGCGCCCAAACTAATTTCTGCCTTTATTTGATGGTCTAGAATTTTAACGAGCTTAAATCGGTGAGTTCTCTGATGACATAACTCCAACATACTTCACTACCCTGCTTGAACACTGTGCTCACCTCCACACAACAGAACTCCCGTTTTGGAAAAACATTACAGTCACCGGCTGAAGCACTCCGACCCCAAAGAGATGAGCGACCCTGCCGGTCCATCGAACTAGACCCAACACCTACACCTGCGGCGTCTGTGTACCTAACGTGGGGCACAGCGGATTGGATATTTAATGCAGCAGCTGTGAAACCTGGATTCAGTCCACTGCTCTCCATTCTCACGTCCCCAACTCCACTCCAAGGCTTGCCTTGACTGCTCCGTTACCAACTAGGTAACCCACTTACAGTTATTTTTTTCTGCCCCTAGGACTCACCTAATACTTGAGTCCCCTTGTTCAAAATAACTAAACCACAAGCGCAACCTAGTAAATATAATCCTCATCACTTACGACGATCGAACTATCCGTGTCCGAATTGTCAAAACAGCCAGCGTCACTGCTGTAGACTTTAATGGAGGGGCAAACATACGTAAAATATATTACATGGACGTTATAAACCACGCTGTTAACTGCAGCTGACCTCATCACCTCAAATGAACCTGACTTGAAAGGCGCACTAGAAAATCACACCAGAATAAGGATGGTCCAAACCATACCCAGTAAATGCTTTCCTCACGAGAGTAGACTCAATGCTCCTCTAAGTCTTCACGATGCCCTATAAGCCGTGAACTGGAAGACTCTTAACTGGGCATGAGTCCGTACAACTCCAGGTTTGGGGTCAGGTTGAAAAAGCTCATTTTTAAATGAGGCCTTCACAGCAACAGTAGTCTGTGAAATGTAGGACGTTGGAGCAAAGCTCATATTTACACGAATCAGCACATATACGGTAAACATAGACTTTGACGCCCTTAATGCCCATTGATGTCAGCTATTGTTTCCATCTGTAGTCGTTTCGACATCGTCTTTCTCCTTAGAACGTGGCGTAGGAAGAATGAAGCTGGAGCGGTGCAAATCTCCCTCGTCATAAACCGGTCTTCCCATAAGTTACCTCTGCATCTGCGGAAAGCGCTAATCCTGACAGAGAGACTAAGACCTAAATCGCGATTTTATGAGGTTCAAATTCGAAAATTTCAAACTTTTTAGTCTATTTTTGCCGCTTGTATTTTGGACATTCAGTAGGTGGGCTAACTCAGGAAATGTCAACCGATATTCCGAAAAAGTTTTCGTTTCAAAAAGATTAATTAGGTAGGGTTATAAAACTAGTCAGTCTGCAAGGTAATTGTATAATATTTCAGTTACCTCAGGATGCCGGCTTTCGAGTGAACTTCCTTCCGGCTGCATGTAAAAACTACACTCTGTAAAAAATGGCTACTTAGTTAGCATGCATTTTTCCCATTTATTTTCGATGCCTCTAAAAGTTCAATCATATTTCACAGAAAAATGCATTAAAATAGGCACTCTTTTGCTCTTTCGGTAGATAATTACGTCTTCTTCCAATCTTATACTCGAAGGAAGGGCATAATTTGGTTTTAAAATACTTTTCCAATTCCCAAAT